TATATATATATATATATAAAGGCGTATTTCGAATAATAAATGCTTATTTGAAAATGAAAACTTTATTTCAATTTTGTTAATTATAAATTATTATACATTTATACTTGCAATTTAAACATTTGAATAATTTCATCAATTATCTGATATTTATAATAAATTGTTTAGTAATTTTTTATTATTTCATATTAAATATTTTTAAGAAATATTTTTAAAATATATTCCAAACTATGTTCTCTATAATCTTTATTATCTATGACTAATTTGTAAAATATTTGTTTACATGTTCAGTATTTAAATTGTAAAGCTGTGAGCGATGAAATAGACTAAAATATTAATTATAATTTTTCATTGTGAAATGATTATATTTGTAATAATTGGACAATATAATACAATAGAAATACTTATAATGCAATATAATCAAATATTAAAAATTTTCAAGTTTTTGATACGTTAAATTATAAATTTTAAAAGCAATACATATAAATAAAATAATATTTTTCTAGCAATTGGTATATTATGATAATAAAATTTATAAACTATTTTGCTTGAAATTTTTAATGTTGTAAGTAATGTAAAATGTTTCTTTTTAGATTTTATAAGCTGATAAATATTTTATAAAAATATTTAGTAATATGACTGTGGTATCTATAATATTTTATCCTAATATTAAAAAATCAAAATTTTATGTAAAATGTAACATTTTATAACAATGTGACATTTTTTCTTTTAGGTAGTAAGTTAAGATTAGATATTTAAAAATGCAAAGTATTATACATTCTATAGAGCAGTGTAATGTTATCCGTTATATATCTTATAGAACTGCAGCAAAAATGCAAATTTTGCATAAGAAACTTTATAGTAAGTTCCTTATTATTTATATATATGTTAATAATAAGAATTAATATGATATGATCATATTCTTATTACTTTTACATTATTAGAATAATTACTTTTTTATTGTGTTTATATTCAATAAAAATATATATTTTTTTTATAGTGCAGTATGTTCAATTACAACTAATTGCTGCAGTCTTTGAGCGCCATAGACTTTCAATTACAGAAAATTGTGTAAATTTAGATTCAAGTGAAATTGAAGATGTTCTTTCTGATATTTATTTTGCAGCATACAAAGAAAATAATATCAATTTTGATGTTGATTTTGTAACAAAATTGGCATTGAATTATGTTTTAACAACATATGACAAGTAAATATATTATTATTTAAATTTGTTAATTAAAATTGAAAAAATAGATAATGTTTTGCTATTATAAATATAGGCAATGTGCTAGGACTGTTTCTGTATTTTCTGTGAAAGTTGCTTTAGTACTAATTAGCTCTGGAAGATTACAAGAGAAGTATGGATATTTTTATCAACAATTAGCTGATCATAATGCATGCTTATCTAAAGCTAGTTTACATTCATTACTGACAAATATTTGTAAAATTGCGGAAATGCTTGGAGAAAGTACAGCATATGGATCTCAAAATATCCAATCGCATATTGATAAGTGTTTTTCAAAGGTATGATTGAATATTATTTTAAATTTGTTTGAATTATATATAATTTATAATATTTTACATTAGTCTCAGGGATGTCTTGGAGTTACTGAATCAGAATTTGCAGCATGGATTATGCAAGAACCTCCTTTACTTGTTTGGATAACAACATTTAATCGTATAAAATCTGCAGAATATAGTATGTACATCTCATATTTTAAAATATTTGATAATATACTTTAAAAGATTAAATGTAAAGTCTTCTTTTTAGTCATACATAATGTTAGATGTTCATCTTGTAAAATAATACCAATTCAAGGGCCACAATATACGTGTCTAAAATGTGCATCATATCATCAATGTCAACACTGTTTCTTATATGACAAAATATCTGGAAAGCATAAACTAAAACATCCAGTTCGTGAATTTTGTACTAAGGTATACTAATATATAATTTTCAAACTGCAGACTTTCAAGTCTAAACTATGTTCTTACAAAAGAATATTTTTACATTGCTCTTAACTTCACAAGAGATCAAGTAACGCTATATTATTATGTAATACAAGACCATAAAAGCCTCAAATTTCCGATTATATTAATATGAAATGTTATAATATTTTTTCAGACTTCAAATCGAGAATTAACAAAATTAGTCATTGAATTAATAAGGAACAAATTGAGATTATGTCCTGCTAGATCTATTGAATTAAATGTTGACGAAAACATTCCACATATAAGGTTGTTATTTTAAGGCAATATTACGATACATAAATGTATTTTATTAATTTTATAGTTATTTCATTTTATAAATTCTATATTTATTGTAGTAATGAAATAACACATACTGATTGTGAATCAATAAGAAGTACGATGAAAAGACGAGTTTTAAGTGATCCACAAAAAGAGCTACAAAGTATAATTACTCATCTGGAAGAAGAAAATAAACAATTACAAATTGAATTACTTGATATACAGGGTACTAAGGCAGAAAGACTTCAACGTCATAGAGTTACAATCGAATCGCAATTACAACGTTTAAAATTATTAAAAGTATATCGTTATTTAATAATTAATATTATTATTGAAGTCTAATGATGTAATATGAACTTTTTTGGTATAATATGAATTTTTTTAATTTTTTAATTTTTTACAGAGGTGTTTATTTACTGATAGGATTTACATGCCCCAAGTAATTAATCATATGCAAAGTACACCAATGGTTCCTCCTCTTTCATCAAGATTAACATCTTTGCCTATAAATTTTGATTTAAGTCCAATTATTCGACAAGAAAATGTAGAACACATTTCAGATGTAAATGTTACAGATATATTACAGTCAAATAATTTCACTCGAACTGGAGATTGTATTAATAAACAAAATCATGATGTTATTATGGATTCTGCAGAAGCATCTACAAGTTTAGGATTCAGCAATGTACTAGAACCTACTCAAATAGAATTAAGTACATGGATTGGAGGTACGTTGTATCTATGTTTTATTATTTTAAAATATTAAGCAATAAAACATCAAAAAATTGTGATTTTATTAATTTATATATATTTAACTTAACTTTTAATTATTAGGTACAAAGAGATTAGAAATGAAGCGGTCTGATAGTGGTTTTTCTCAATGGCTGGGTTCTAACAATTCAGATAGTAAAGGAGAAAAATATTTAATAAAAACTATGACAACTAACACTAAAAATGAATCACCTTTAGCAACATCTGATTCTCTCATAGGTATTCACAGAGATAATACACCATCATCCTTACAAAGACCTGATAAACATTCACAACATAGCAGTTTGCAAAATATTCAAGGCGATTTAAATGATATACTAGATAGATTGCAAAATATGGTTACAGATGATCGTTTACTGGATGGTAAATTACTACTATAAATAATATATATTACTATTTTATATTAATATTAATATTTTTACATAAACTATTGTTTTAGATTCTTATGTTGCTAATGACAATTGCAAATTAAAACGTGCTACCACAGAAATGGAAGATTTATTAACAGGACTTATTCAAGGTATGGAATCTCGAAAAAGTAAGCTTACTACTATTGTGTAGTAAATTTATTAATTATAATTAATATTCTGAATTTTCATTATAAATATTTACAAAATAAATATTTCCGTCCATAAAGTAAACTTCAAATTATAATTATGAAGTATTAATATTAATTATAATAAAATTGTAGTGTAAATGTAATATGTAAAAATAATATATAATTATGGCAACATTGAAGTAACTTTTTACAAATTTTGAACAAATTTCAAAAAATGTACGAACGTACAATTTTCAAACATTATAACAAACTATTTTTAGTGTATGTTATATGTAAACTTCAAATATATGACATAAGCATACAAAATAGATGTATATCAAAAGAATAGTATGTTATTTAATAAAAACTTTTTTAAGAAAAATTTGTTCTTTTTTTGCTAGTTTACTTAACAAAATAAACATTAATTGTCTTATAAAAAGATGTAAATAAGATTCATTATATTGATGAATAGACTAGATTATCATTTAATGTAGTTATATGTCAATAATATGAAATATGTTCATTTAGAATATATAGAACATGTAATATATTATTACATATCTTTTTCAACTAGCAATGTATCCGTTAAATAAGTAACTTTAAATAATCGGGAGAAATGTAATTTCTCTGATGGTAGATTTACTGTCCATGCCATTACACGAATATCACGATTATACCATTCTTTTATAAGACGCCTAAAATAAATAATATACATATACATATATATATATATATATATAAATTTACAATAACTACTACAAATAATTACTTAACATTATACATGGAACTGAATTTAAGTACATACGGATTTAGTATATCTTTGTGCAATAATACAGCAGATACACCCAGAATATAGTATACAAAATGGTGGAACACCCATTCATAAATATGATCAAACAAGCACGCTACTATATGTTTAAATGGATTGCTATATTTCACTGGACCTGGACCATCTAGAGCTGAATATGATAATCTTGAAAAATATTGTGGTCTCCATGCAAGACCTGCCACAATTCGAGGTTCCTTTCTTCTAATCTGCAATAATAAAATTATTATTTAACATATCTATCATTAATTACAGTAATTTTCATGTCATCATTTTTAATATATTTTTTACCATATATACAATAATAGGATTAAAACTGGATATAATTGCTCTCTGAAATAATTTTGGATACTTTTTATATGTATCTAAAATTACTTGCACTATTTCCATTTTGGTTTCTTTTATATCAATAATTATTCTTTGTTCATTTGATAAACATATTTCTAGAGCTTCATGAAGCAATGGAATTTTTTCACCATCAATAAACTTATCTCTGTGGTACATAAAAAAAAATTATACATAAATATATCTAATATTTTCTAATATCTTCTATATATAATGATGTAATGTAATATTTTGTAATATATGATTTATTTACTTAAGTGGATGATTATGGGAAATATCTAATTGTTTTAACTGATCCCAGGTCATGTCTTTAATTATACCAGTTCTTCCAGTAACTCTATCAATTGTTAGGTCATGAAATATTATAGGTACATTATCTTTTGTAAGAGATACATCAAATTCAATTGCAGTACATCCTTTTTCCTTGCTCTATAAAATATTTCATATTTATACATATTCTGATCACTGTTTTATAGTGATATATATATTATTTTTACCAAAAAATTCAATTTTTGTTAGTAACTACTATATTAGTATCTATATTTGTATTATAAAACTGCTTTTGTTATAAGGTGTCAAATATTCCAAATTAGTTAATAAAAAAACAAATGAATTTGTTATTTTTTCTGGAACAATTGCCTAATGTAAAAACAAAAACCATTATTATATATAAGATTTTACATTACGAAAGGCTGTTAAGCTGTTCTCAGGGAAATCATATCCTCCACCACGATGAGCCACCACTCGCATGCAATATTGTTCTCCATTACCATGATCTTTGAACATAGTATTATCTTTTTTCAATGAAAGGGGATTTACACCAAGCACTTCTTGCACAATGCTCAAATTTGGTGGTGGAATCCTGGTTATTTTTAATCCAACTGCGATAATAAAAGAACCCCAAACAATCCATGGTATGCAAAAATTATAAAAGACACTTATCAAGGTACTCCAAATAATTTGTGAAAATATCCACAATAAAGCACTATTCAGAATTAGTTCAATAATTCCATGCATTTTTCAGAGAAATCTTTAGTCTTGTTAACGTTTTTTAAAAGAAAATGTAAGTTAACTCTACGCATACAAAAACTTCAACTATGATATTGCTGTATAGCACACTGTATTACTTGAAAATTTAATTTTGCACATTCTTGTTAACACTCTTTAAACTTCTTAATATACATAGCTATGTCTGATAACACTTGTTTACACTACAATATCAGTATTGAACAAATAGATGATTTAATATCTTTGTATCCCTGAAACATTAAACATTCTTTTAGTGATATGTATCTTAAGTGTGATTAAATCTTAAATATCAATTATCAGAACTTTTAGTTTGTTAATTAGAATTACATTTTACCAATCGTACTTTATAATATAATTACAATAAATGTTGGTGACAATTACTATATTATATTTTTAAGTAATATAAAAACTTAATTTAACCTTAATTTAAATTGTAGGTTCTTTAACTATAGATTGTCACAATACTAAAACTCAGTTTACATGAAAGATACTTATCAATAATCCTGATTTTTTTATATGATAAAAATATATAGATGCATACGTAACATCACATACGAAGGCATACACAGCTACGCATTGGCGCTACTGATGTAAGATTTACTATAACCAATTACATAAAATTCATGTAGGTATATAAGATGAATAAAAAATATATTTATAACAGTAAAATTAATTTAATATTTTATATAATTTATTATTAATACATACAGCACTATGAATTACATACTATTTACATTGGAAAATGAAAATATGACATTAAATAATATTTAATGAATTGGAGACAATTTACATACTTAATATAACATTTTACATTTACTATTATATTATATTAAAAAAAATATAAATGACTTTATTAAACAAAGAATAATAAAAATTAATAAAGAAAAAAAAACATTTGAATAAAAGACAATGGGAGATTCGTTAGATTTTTTAACAAAATATCATAATATATCTAATAAACTAAAGAAGTAAGTATTTCGTTATGCATATTATTTCTTATAATAAAATAAATATTATAATTATTCTTATAATAAAATCAATGTTATAATTATTAATAATTAAATTTTAGACGATTTTTAAGAAAACCAAATGTTGCTGAAGCAAGTGATCAATTTGGTATGTTATGAAGATTTTACAATATAGTGAGATTAAAATTTTATTAATATCAATCATTTTATAGCGACATTAGCAACTGAATGTGAACAAAAGGAGTTATGGCAATATGCAGGTTTATGTCTATTAGATGCTGCTAGATGTCAAGAAACATTAGAAAATATTTTTTCTGAATTAAATTTCTTAATAAAAGCTGGTCGAGAATTTCTTGTGGCTGATAAGAAAGACAAAGATATAGGATGCCCTTCTATAGGACAGGAAAATACACAGGTTTATTATTTTTGCAAATTAAATTAACTATTAGCAATATAACTATATTAAAGTTATAATTTTTTGTATTAGGCAGCAATAAGTTGTTTTGGTCATGCGTTAGCACGTTGTCATAATCAAATAGGATTCAATACTATGTCAGCTGGCTTAGCACTAGAACTTGCACTAGCTTTGGGTCCTACTCCAGCTGGCATACAACAATTACGTAAAGCTATTGATATTTTCCCAACTATAAAAGCTATTAATACATTAGTATCTTATCACATTAAGCAAGGTAAATATTGATTAAAAAATATTGATTGCAATTATTTATAATAACTAAGTACAAAATTTTACTAGGTGATTATGTATCTGCTTTACAAATTTTGAATGATTTTGTTGAATTTGTTGAAAGTTATATTAATGCTGGTGCAAGAGGAAATTACAGCATCATATTACACAGGTATTAAATACAATTTAAAATAAAAAAATTTTAAGAAACTCCAAAAATAATGGATTTATTGCTTAGTAATTTAATAATTGCATTATTATATAGGTGTGAAGTAACTAGAGTGCTTTTATTACTTATACTACAACCATCACCACAAAGACTAGCACCCTGTTTAGCACAAGTCTTAGAGAAGTATGCATGGGTAGAAGAAACTACAAATAATGGCAAGTTGCTATTCTATCATTCTTCTTTTTTAATTATTTAAATAATTATAAACAAAATAATAAAAATACTAATAAAACACGAATTGCAGATTTTAATATGTGTGAAGATGAACTATTATTGTTACAATCATTAGTATTGGCATGTCAATCACATGATTATCAAGCATTGATGGAATTGGAAAGGGAATTATGGATTTATCTAAACGCTGAACAAAAGGAATTATTACATAAGTTAATTCAAGTTTTAACAATACAATAAATGGACAGTGTTATATCTATATCAATAATTAAAAAATTAAGAATATTAAGTGATATATAAATGATATTTTTTATTAAATTTTATATTTATTTTATTTAAGTAATACGTTTAAAAAATGTTTTTCTTTCTATATTTAATATTTCATATTTTAATATTTTATTTAATTTAAATTTTTATTGTGAAAGCTTAATAAATTAATTCGTTAAAAGCTATTTGATGATGTAAGCAATTCTCACATGAGCCATCATTCCTCCCATTCTTGTAAAGGAGGTAGATAAATAAGTATGTCGTATCTGTGTGAAGTGTGAAAGGAAGAACTTGTTGCTGAAAGCAAGGACTTTAGAGGGTCGAACTGTACAGTGTGCGTATTTCTATATATAATGATACGTATGATGGTATTGTAGAAGAGGGGATCTCTTGCGTTCCACGAATATACTAAACTCCACTTTCCTATACCCGAAGATGAGGCAAGTCACTAAGGTAGAGTCAGTGATTACGTGGACGTGACCACGGCTCTATGTTAGTTTGACGTATTCGCTATTTGTAATTTTATTTTATTAAGGTAATAATTAATGTCTCTTAAATGCAATTCTATATGTATACCTTTATCTCATTTTGATAAAAGTTTATATTTGTTATATGTTTAAATATTAATTTTTATATTTTCATCTGTAATACAAGATAAAAGAAAGTAAATTATTTAAAAAATAATATAATAAAAACAAATAATACATTTTATATATATTTTATAATAAATATAAAACTATCAAGTTTTTTTATATTTACTATGCTTAAATTTTAATGCAATAGAAAATTACTAATATGATAAGTTAAAAATGATATTTTTAAAAATATTTCTTATTTCTTATATTTTATTTCTGTATAAAAAAAAAGAATGAAAAGTTAAATTTCTTTTATCCATATTTCTATTGCGTAAATGAACGTTAAGTGCCGAAAGTATCTGGTTCTGTAGAGTACCGTTAAATACAATAGTCAAACTTTGAATACATATTTAGTATCTTTGCCTAGTGATTAACAAAACTAATATTTTTTTAAATTTTTCCTAAAATAAATTTTTTACTTCTTTCTAAAAGATATAACTTTATAAAGATATTACTTTCTAAAAGACTATACTTTATAAAAGATTTTTAAAAATATGATAAATAAAAACTTTATTAATTCTGAGTTAAATGTTTGACAGAGCAAATTGATTGTTTTTAATTTTATATTAACTAAATTCCTATGTAATGAATATATTTGTAATTATCATCCAGGAATTATTACAGTAATTTATCATATGTTTTGATGACCTTGAACTCTGTACGATACAGGTGAATGTCCGAGAAACACCTGCATACTTTACCTTGTACTTATTACAAACTATATTTACTATTTTCGTTTGTATAAATATATGTAGTATATGAAATATATGCAATGAAAACAATTTCGATCGAATACAGATATAATTCTAATGTGGTCGTAAAAAAAGATAATACATATGATTAAAAAAAAAATTTCCCCTTATGCATAATAGTTCAATTTAAAAAATTTTTTTAAGGATTAAATTACAAATTTAAATATGATAATTTTTACAGTACTATTGTAAAATGTTTAAGAAGATATATTATACATGTTACATAAATATATAATAATATTTTCCAATAGCAATATGACCAAAGATTGGAAAACTATTTTTGTAACCGGAGGTGCTGGTTACATTGGAAGTCATTGCATCGTCGAACTTTTAGAGAGTGGATATAATGTTGTTGCAATAGATAATTTTGCTAATAGTGTTACTGAAAATACCGGTGAGTCCGCAGCTCTTAAAAGAGTGGAACAAATTACCGGGAAAAAAGTTATATTTTATAATTGTGATCTCATTGATCGAGACAAACTTGAAACAGTTTTTAACAAGGTATAAAATATAATTTAAAAAAGAATTATCTTATTTTTGTAATATTTTTTTCATTAATCATACTATATGTTAAATTTTAGCATAAAATAGATTGTGTAATTCATTTTGCGGCAATAAAAGCGGTTGGTGAATCAATGCAAGTGCCGTTGCATTATTACCGAAATAATATCATCGGTGCCATTAATTTGCTAGAGGTATAAATATAATTGAATAAATCTTTATATATATTTTTATAGTATAATAATAAATTTCTAACTATAAATTAATAACTATAGTATAGTATAATAAATCTTTTTTAATCTTTTTATAAGGTAATGAAGGCTGCTGGATGCTTTCAATTAGTATTTAGTAGTTCTTGTACTGTGTATGGCGAGCCAAACGAACTTCCAATTACGGAAGAACACCCGACGGGAAATATTACAAATGTATATGGTAGAACAAAGTATTTTATCGAAGAAATGCTTAAAGATGTATCAAGAGCTGAAAAGGTACATTTTAAATTTAAATTTCGAAAAAATCAGAAAAATTAAACTATTTAAAGTTTCATTAATAATGAATATTTTGAATAAAATATGTATAAAATCTTGATTTTTATTTAACAGAATTGGAATATCATTTCACTAAGATATTTCAATCCAGTAGGTGCTCATCAAAGTGGTTTGATTGGAGAAGATCCCACAAAACCATTTACGAATTTAATGCCTTATATAGCGCAAGTAGCTTTAAGACATAAGCCTGAACTCGTTATTTTTGGAGGTGATTACTCTACAAAAGATGGTACAGGTATGAATAAATTTTCTTATTTCTCATACAATATCGTAAACACATACTATTTAAAATAAAAAATAGTGAAATATTTATTTTTTATAGGCATCCGTGATTATATTCACGTTATGGATTTAGCTGCTGGTCATGTAGCAGCTTTAAATGCTTTACATAAACGACATTTGAGGCTAAAAATTTATAATTTAGGTACTGGTAAAGGAGTGTCTGTACTTGAATTAATTAAAACTTTTGAGAATATCACAGGAACAACGGTGCCATATGTTATAAAACAAAGAAGAGAGGGTGATATTGTATCAATGTATGCGAATACAGATTTAGCAGAAAAAGAATTAGGATGGAAGGCTAAATATAATGTTGAACGCATGTGTAAGTAAAATAATATTTTCATTACATTTTCGCATCGAAATAAGATTTCTTGTTTAATATTTCTTTAACTTAGGTGAGGATTTCTGGAGATGGCAAATGATGAATCCACATGGTTATCGTAGTTCAGTAAAAAATGGTATTATGGAGCATGTAAATGGCACTTTGTAATACTGTTACTTCACTATTATTAAAACATCATTAATTTATGATAATAAAAAATGCAATATAAAATCAACAATATTGGAATATTTTCTTCTTTTTTAATTTAATACTAATTAATTAACTTATTTACATCTGTGTTAATATTGTTTTGAGTTTCTTTTGTTTCTTTTGTATATAATGATAAGTGTTGAAATTTTAATACTTCAAGACCCCAGCTTGTCCATTTAGGAAGTAAATATCTAGCAAATATTTCTAAACATCTTGGTTCATTTGGAAGATAATCTTTCATAACTTCTATAATTCAAATATCTTTATATACCTTCAATAATTTTTTTAATATAAATTATTATTGATATATAGTTTTACCTGTAAGTGGTGGTTTATGAGAATGTACAGCACTTGGTACACTTATCAATAGTTTACCATTAGGAATATTTATTTCATTTCCATGTAATACAGACCCTAGAACTAACAATTCATAAGGTTGTTTACCAGGAGCAAAATTAAAATTACATATTGTATTTCCTCCTTGAGTAATCTAAAACATAAAACGAATGAAGTACAATTTATTTTTCTTTTAGTTTTAATAATTTATAAACTTTTGGCTAAAATATATACTTACTTTAACCCAATACCATTTTGCTCTGTATGTAACACCCCATGATGGAAATATATCATTAAAAATACTATGTAGATGACTTGGAGCATTGGTACACCATATTGCCACAACCCCATTTGAACATAATAATTTGCCAATTGGTATTTTGGCCAATTCTTCATTATACATCATTTTGTAGCTGTTTAATAAGAAATATATAAGACTCAATTTATACAAGAGTATAAAATATTATTTACAGCAAATTGCTATCAAGAATTGAAATATTTTTATTTATGGAAAATACAATTAATCAATGTGATAAAATCAAAATATATCAAACTATTTCAATATGAGGCTTTTTTATGGTGAAAAGTTGCATCTAAAATCTTATTTACCCATATGCTCACAAAATTGAGAACAAGAAAAACTTATACTATTATCAAAGTACTTGTTCTCTTTAAATTGTTCAGAGAGCTTTCTTTTTTTACTGGCTTATATTGAACCATACTAGATCACCTAGCTTGTGAATATTTGGTTTTTTTTCTTCTTATAGACTTGTTCCACCAAGGAGGATCCAACAATATAAAATCATATTGGTTATTTAGGTCCAGTTTATTTGCAATGTCTCTCACATCATAGCAATAAAATTTACATTTTTGAGGAAAAACATATCTTTTTTCCTTTAATTCTGATGTAACAGCTATATCCATATCGTTGCAACCATAAAAATTTTCCTCTTTATTGCAAAATGTATCCTGATAAAATTTTTGAGAAATCAAGCGTGCTGCTTCATTGTTATCAGATGATACATTAGTAGAAAATAACCCCTCTGTTTTTACAATCGAAATTATTTTGTTAAATGTTTTCTTGATGTAATTTATCTAGAAAACAAATAATATTAATTATAACTACTTTGTTTGATAATTAAACTATCAAATTTTTTGTTTTCAACTACATACTTCTTTTAAATCTTCATCTGGTAAAAGTTTTAATCGCTTCCTTTTTTTAGTCTTATTTTGTAATGAAATTCCTTCTTGTTGTTCTGATTGAATTGTTTGATTTTGTCGTAAATACTGAGAATTTATATCAAATAATATTTCATTAAAAATTAGTTTACATTGTGTGTTGTCATTTTTCACATTTGTATAAATATTATTAAGGTATTTTAAATGAGATATTATCCATCCTTCTTCAGTTGAGAAAATTAAACTCATAATTGATAAATGCACTGGACTACGCACTAGACATAATTATACCTCTTTAATTTATTTGATTTAGTTTTCTTATCTTTTTGCGCATAAATAAGTAACTATTCAATATATTTTGGTTATGAAGTATGTATACATTTTTTAAATTTAGACTAACTTCATAGCGTTACCGTTACTATGGTAACATGGATGTTAATTTAAGAAAATGGCGACTTTAGGTTAGAATGTATAATTATCATAAACACTTGCATCTTAATTTTTAATAATATTACATTTTTAATAATATTACGATACTTAATAATATCAGTGAACTTGAATTTTAATATTTGATAAAAAAAAAAGTAAAGATGAGAATTGCTGTAGAAGGTTGTGCACATGGTGAATTAGATATTATTTATGAAACTATTCAAGAAATAGAAAAAGCTAATGGAAGAAAGATAGATTTACTTATTTGCTGTGGGGATTTCCAAGCAACAAGAAATTTAAGTGATTTAAATTGTATGGCAGTACCTGATAAATATAAAGACATGTGTACCTTTTATAAGTAAGTATTTAACTCTATGTTTATTTAACTTTATGTTTGTTAAAATGAGGATAGTTAAATAGTTTAAATTAATTATTTATTCTTTATCATTACAGATATTATTCTGGAGAAAAGGTTGCTCCTGTGTTGACAATATTTATTGGAGGTAATCACGAAGCTTCCAACTATCTTCAAGAACTATCATATGGAGGATGGGTAGCTCCCAATATTTATTATTTAGGATATGCTAATGTGATAACAGTAGGTGGTATTAGAATTGCAGGATTATCAGGTATTTATAAAAGCCAACATTGGATGCAGGGACATCATGAAAAACCACCATATACTGAAAATACAATCAGGAGTATATATCATACCAGAAATTTAGAGATATTTAGATTAAAGCAGGTAGTACTTTTTTTCTTTTAAACATAAAATTAATTTTTCTTTCATTATATTATATTCATTATTACTCTATTTTCAATAGTATTCATTTTATTTATGAACTGTCTAATTTGTAGCTTTCTGGTAATATTGATATTTTCTTGTCACATGATTGGCCATCAGGCATAACTAAATATGGAGATGAAAGTATTTTATTAAAAGGAAAACCTTTCTTCAAGTAAGCTAATAAAAATCTCATATGTAAAACATATTAGTCTTTGAATATATGAGTGTTTATATCTTATTATCTTATTATTTTATTACAGAAATGATATTGAGAATAACATGCTTGGTAGTCCACCATGCATGGAGCTTTTGGAACATCATTACCCAAGCTATTGGTTTTCTGCTCATTTACATTGTAAATTTGCAGCTCTTGTTCCTGAAAAAGGAGGAATAAGGGTAACTAAATTTTTAGCTCTAGATAAATGTCTTCCAAAAAGAAAATTTCTTCAAGTACTTGAAATAGAACACAATTCTGATTTACCATTAAAGTTACATTATGACTTAGAATGGTTAACAATATTATATTTGACAAATCACTTATTAAGTGTCAAAAGTGGAATTCATTATATGCCTGGACAGTATGGTAATACCAGATGGGTATTTACACCAACTGTAGAAGAAAAGGCAATAATTTTGAATAAATTTAATTGTGATTTACAAATTCCATTGAATTTTATACAAACTGTAAAACCATATAATCCTGATAGTACAGATGTATCAGTAGAACCACCACAATTGATAGTAAATAATCAAACAACTCAATTTTGTAACACTTTGGGTATTGATGATCCATCTGCTTTACTACTATTAATGAGTAATATAAAAGAGTTGAAATCAAATGAATCATTGATGGAAACATCATTTGAACAAATATCTACTTCTCACGAAATTTCAATTTCATTCGATGAAGATAATGTCTTAAGTTCTACATTTGATGGAAGCATAGTTAGTGACTCATTTAATCGAACATCGTCATCAAATTTATCTCCAAAGAGTAATAATGAAGAACAAGAATCAGAAATAAGTAACAATAAAGATGTTGCAAATGAAAGTTTTAGTAGTTTATCATCAGCAATAAATTATGATTCTACAGATGATAGTAAATGATACATTATTATTTTATTATAATGTACATAGTATTCTTTATGTAATAATGTATTATTATGTAATAATGTATTATTTATGTTTCAGATAATTACATTATTCAAACTGAACCAAATCGTAAGAAATTTAAACGTCGGAATTATTCTATATATTCAAATACACTCTAATCAGGATAATTTTAATTTGGAATGCCTAACTTCCAAAAAAACAATGTGTATATGAAGAACTTTTATGTGAATGTGTATGTAATTTTACATTTTAATTTTTTGTAAAAAGTTTTTTTTATTAATATAAGAATAATGTATGTTAATTATATTAATTTTTTATTTAATAAATATGCATTAACTGTTTGCATCCTGTTTTCCTTTATTATTTTATTAATATACGTATAAATATATATATATATATATTATATACATACGCGCGCGCGCGCGCGTGTGTGTGTAATACAAAGTATATGTCATAAGTGTTTAGGTTAGAAAACTATGCTTTCATACGAAGTGACACCGATAGTAAACTGAATAAACGAAGTAATTCACTTTATTCCTAGTAATTAAATTGTTTTCATAACAATGATACTATACTAATTATTTTTAATAAATTAAAATAAAGTTATTTAATTATTATTGATATAAAATGGATAAATTAACAATTATTTCGGGAACATTGTTTCTTGCCGCCGATGTATTTGCAATTGTCAGTCTTGCTATGCCCGATTGGATTATTACTGATGTTGGTGGTAAATAATTATAAGTTACATTTTTTTGCTAGTTGTAATAAATACATGATTTCAATAATTCAATATATATGTATTTCTCAAAAACATAATCTTTTCAGGAGACACGAGACTAGGACTGATGTGGTCATGCATGACTTTGTATAATAGACATCAAGTTTGTTACAGTCCAGAATTGCAACCAGAATGGTTTATGGCTCTTGTTTGTATTTTTGTTGGTTGCATTTTAATAACAGCCACTATAATATTATTAGCTAGTTCTCATTGGGATCGTAATGTTATTCCTTATGCAAGATGGGTAGGATTTACAGCTAGTAAGTGGAATTAATACTGTTAATTACTTTCCACAAATAAAATCTTATTATTAAAAAATATATAAATTTATATTTTAGTGGTACTATTTTGTTTAGCAGCTGTTATATTTCCAATGGGTTTTCACATTAATGAAATTGGTGGGCAACCATATCAATTACCAAATTCACATCAAGTTGGTATTTCTTATATACTTTTTGTTTTAGCTTTATGGATTACGGTAATTTCAGAATTATTTGCTGGCAAAGTTTGTCTCCCACATTTTTAGCATCTTTCATTTTCTGAATGTATCTCTTATATTTGTCTAATATTGTTGATAGTTATTACGTATTTCGTTTGTAATTAGTGTAATATAATTTGTTATTAACTAGAAATAAGTAATTGATAGAAGTATTAAAGGTTTTTTATATTCTTTATTTATTAAAATATATTATTTGATTTTTTTAAATGAATTTTAAGTGTTCTTATAGTATTATGATAAAAAGGATTAATAACAATATGAGAAATGAAGTGTCAATATTTGAAACAATAAATATTTTTTAACAAATGATAATCAAGTTTTTATAACATATATACATATTTTTATTAATTTTTATAAACCTTAGATATATATTTTAATATTTAAACAGGTGAATTATAAGACGTTACAAGTTCTGCTTTATCTGGAAGCATGATAGAATTAATTTTTTTAAATTTTGAATAACAAAAGAGCTGATTATTTTGGATATTTTTGATAACTGCTTAAAAATGGAATGCGATATATTAATCTTTTTTTTTTATTTAGATAGCTTTTATAAAATTGAATAATATTTATTTATTTCAAGTGTTTTAAAGGAAGACTGTAGAAACAATTGAAATAATTAAAATAAATGTATTCTGGGTCGATATGCTTCAGGATAAAACGACTTATAATATTTTATATGACTCAACCTGTTTATATACATGTATATATATATGTGTTGATGTAAATATATATATACATATACATATATACATACACACACATACACACACTTATAGGAAGTATTATTTTACTAAAAGTATTTCTTATCTACATTATGTCAGAAATAGAATGTAAATAAAATGTTTTGCAATGGGATTCTGTAACTTTACTGCTTTATTAACTGATTATGTAAAGATAAATATATTTGAACTAGAAGCAATTAGTCTGACAATAATGAAGTAGAATACGAAATATAAAATTATACATAACAGTCCAGAGCAAAACAAAATATTTAACATATTTCGTGAACATTTTTATACTTTCGACACATTTCGCTAATAATCTTAAAATTGCTAAAATTCTAATAACTAAGAAAAAAATACAATCACTTCTAAATTTAAATTTACAATCATTAAATTAATCCATTAAACTAATTACAAATAATAGAAAACTATTACATGTGTTAACATGTATAAAACGAAATATGTGAATATTTTTTTGTTTTTTTTTTGTTTTTTTAAAGAATCGCAAAATTAATCATAGACACAAATTTGACACATGATAGGGTAGTTTTGTACACAAATTTTATGTTTATACAATCTTCCGCATTGATAACATTAGTATTCCACCTTACCAATTATTTCTTTGACTGGAAATTTAATTTTTATTTTTCTTGAATATTTATTTTCATAATATAATATAAAGACGCAATGCCATTAACAATATCACGAAATATGTATGTAAGTTGAATAATTTTTTAATAATTAATTTTAAATTATTTTTTTTATAATTAAAAAATAATTTTTAAATTAATATATGCTACACATAATTGGCAGGTTGGAATATTATAAGGGCATAGGAAGGTTATTTACAAAAATAACTTAAGGTGCATCTTTCTTCAAATATATATAAAATTTGCATTTCATAGAAATTTTGTCGTTAAAGTAGAAAAACTTTTCTCTATTTTTACTTCTTTTTCTACAAGATTATTATGTATATTTTTTTCTTATAGATTGTATATTCATAATCAAAGTAAGAAAGATATGTACAAGAGACTGTGACATTTAATATTTCTATAAACTGTAATGTGCAAGCGCTTATTAACTTCGATAGAATTATGAATGCCAAAATTAAAACTCCTCTGTAACTTCAACTTTAACTATTATTTATTTCGCGTACCAAGAAAATTCGTATCTTTATGCATAAAACTTGTAACAACAATCTTACGTACAAATGTTTCATGGAAGTACAATGTATTAAAAGGAAATACTTTTCTATTTTTTCATGATATACATTAATAAACATTCTCTGTACTCAGATACAAGTATCAACAAGAACTACAAATCTGTAAAATCTATTCTTTCAAATTGCCTCTTTAGGCTTAGAATATAGATTTTTTTATATACGTAATTAATGTTTTTCGTTTTAACGTGCTTTACCACTATTTGATTGATTATTTCCAATAGTGTCACATCGTCGATAATATAATAAATATGGAACTCTCGGAGGAGTAGGCTTTAATACATTACTTTCAGAAACACCTTTTAATGAACTGTCATCGTACCTGACCCAACCACCATATCCCACATGAAAAGCGTCTGTAACGTAATGACCCTTTGTTGCTTCTTTTCCATCATGATAAGTAACAGCAAATAATTTATAATGCTTTTGCTTTGGATTTAATTTCTTTATGGCATTTGGCGACAGGAATTCTGGAACAATAAATTTGATATTTTAACTTATCTAAATCTTATAAATTTAAAAAGACAAATATCAATAAACTGTTTACTAACTGCTATCCAATTTTAAATCAATTGGAAATTCCACACTTTTTACAATTTTTGAACATCCATCCAGTTTGTAATCAAACCACTTTAAATGTAATATAAGAATGATAGGTAATTCTTCTAAGGTAACTTGCTTCCAAGCTTCTATTTGTTGTTTTGTTTTACTACATGTCATTCCTTCTAATTGATCTTTTCCCACAAGAATCTCGAGTGCACCTTTTACAGATTCTGCTTTCTAAAAGTAAAATATTTTGTATTAATATACTATTGTATTGAAATTTTGTTTTTAGTCTTTATATAATTTAGTCTTTTTATAATATTAGTACTTCTATATCAAGTTGTAGCGTAAAAAATGGTTGGACGTTATCTGTTGGTTGTTCTCCCACTCGTGATACTCTAGATCTCAATTGTCCACGAAATATATCTGATAATGGTGTTCTTCCAAATTCTGTACACCGTGTAATAGATCCTTTATTCTTTGGACCCATAACCTACAATTTAAATCTTGATATTAATATTTTTTATTTGATAATTAATTATTAAATTATTTGGCTGAATTATATTTTACCTTCCATTCTTCTTCTCCATTATTATAACTTACATTATTTTCAATATTATTTGTTACGCTTTGGTCATTATTTACTAATTTAATAAGCTGAAATAAATAAATTTATTATTATATTATTAAAACATACATAATGATATATTATGCCATTAAAGTTCAAATTAAGATAAATGTTATCATGATCGTACTTCAAGCATTTCATCATTGATACCATTCAGAAGACACGAAAGAAATTCTTCTGCATCTTCTTGCCGTCCTTCTACAGAAAATACACCTGCAGCTGACATATTTTTTAACATTGTATATACATAAAAAGGTTCAAAGGCCACTCCACATTGTATATCTACTATTGTATCTTCTCCTCGTTTATTTGCTCTCTCTTTTCTAGCTAATCGGGCACCATCTGACAAAGGTGTAAATTCGTGTACAAATTTGATCCTACATAAAAAATTAAACATTTTTAGGAAAAGACAATACAGTATATACTAAACAAAACAACACAGTATATGCTAAATTTAATTCTTTGCAGTCGTAATAGCTGCGTGCCTAAATTTTCCAATAGTTGTCATTATTTTCACCCGTTTTCCTAGTCAATTACAGTTAGTATGATAAGCTGTTTTAGTACCACTGTGTGCTTAGGTTTACTTAGTCAATTACTTAGTCAATTACTGTTATTATTTATGATGGTCTATTTTAGTACTATTACACGTAATGGAAGGAATACAGATAATATAAGGGATTTAAAAGGAGCACAAATAACGTAAAAGAAATATAAATTTCTACGGGAATCCTTGCAAAGAAATAATCTCAAAAGAACTACTGTTAATTTCGTGAATTTACTTTCGCTTATAATATAGCTTCTTTATTTAATAGGACTGAACTATTGTTGTAAAAAAATAAAAATTTCAAAAGAACTACTGTTAACTTTGTAAATTTACATTCACATTACAATATATTGTAATTTCGTAATTACAATTATCTCTTTATTCGGTAGGACCGAAAAACTAAAATATATACAGGCTTTTATAACGCGCGTTGTTAATTACCAAGAAGAAACAAAATTGACTTAGAGCATTCGAAATTAAGACGTAAAATGTAAGTTATTTTTCCGCATTATTAGTAAAATAAATCTTCTGGACAATGCAAGATTTTTCGTTTCGATTTCATCTATATACCACGCCAAAATGTGCGTAGAACAAGATAATATCATTGTAACATTAAAAGCATGCATATGCCAGGCAGAGCCCAGAGTATAACCAGAACGATAAAGAATTGTTTGTTGCCGGGCAGTGCTTGGGTTTTGACTGCAAAGAGTTAATATTTACAAATACTAAGTTTTGAAAAATTTAATCTTTACTTACATGCTATCAATAAGTGGAGTAGAAGAAGATCTCATTTTATTGGAATTTTTAGAATGTGGTAGGGCCATTAAAAGATTGTAAAAAGGTGGACAAGCAAGCAAAGCTTGTAATATACTATTAATGTAACAATAATTACTACGGTTTGTTAATCCTCTAGGTAATAAACTCACAGTTTGTTTATCCATCTGATAGCTTAGTAAAAATTCTAAAAAAAAAGAAATTAAAAATATGTTAAATATATTTAAATAAAATGTGTTTTCATTTATTAATTTCATTTGAATAATACTTACCACCCATACGAAAGACAATAGGATCATTAAAGTGATTTTTCAATGTTTCTCTCTGTGGTTTCTTACTTTCATTTATAATACTTTGCATATTAGATGAAATATTTTCATTTGTAAATACCGTTGTACTATTAGGTTGATTTTTTTCTATTGACTGTGATGATTCTTTTGGTGTCACATTATTCTCTCTAATTGATAGAGGATTAATGCGCGCTGTTGGTTTACAAGTTGATGAATTTGATTGTGTTTCTGCACTTCCTTTTTTCAAGATACTAGCCCAAGATATGTTAGATAAAATTGGAGATGATGTAGTAGGCACAATTACTGGAGTATTTGCTGTACTAGAAGAGTTATTTGGCGTTTTAGTGATAATTTTGTCTTGTATATTTTTTGTAGAAATATCTTTCTTGGGTATTTCACTTTCGGTTTTAGAAACTGGTTTTGATAATGTTTTAACAACAGTAGTTTTAATACTAGAAACAGTTTCATTTTTATATTCTTTATCAGTTTCTCCATTCTGTTTTACTTCTAATACACTATTAATATTTACGCATGGTACATCATTTTTCTCAGCTCCATTACACTTTTCATTTACAGTAGATACAATATTATGTTCTATTTTGACATTAACTGGGGGTACTTTTCCATTCGTATTTGAATTTTTTCTATTAACATTATTTTCATCTACACTGTTAGTACATTGTTTTACTTTATTGTTATTTACAGTTATTACTGTAGTAACTATATTGGTCTGTGAAGAATTATTATTTTCTTCAGCTGTTTGATGAAAAGGTTGCTTAATAGGATGTGTAACATTTTGCATTCGTTTTTCATGAGATTTTGTAGTCTGTACTTTTGTACATTCTTGAGTAGGTTGAGAAAGCATAGGTCGAGCACATCTTACATTTCCTGAAGGATGGTGATATGGAGGATATCCATAACCAGGTTGTGTATGAGGATGTGTACTTGTATGCGTATGAATATTTGGTTGATATAAAGCTAGTGGAGGATAATGAACATGGCCAGAAAATTGTTGTTGTTGTGTTTGATCTGGATACATAACCACAAAAGATAATGGTGGGTGAAATTGGCCTTGTTCTCCTATATATCCAGGTTGCATATCATTTGTAGGATTTATTCCACGATTGAAATTGTCTCTTCTTATTCCTCTTCCTCGATTATTCCTTCTATTAGTTTCCCTATTACAACTAACATCCTGAATTTCACTTCCAAGGTTATATCCAGGGTGAGAGTAATTTATAGCAGGCATAAATGACTGTATATGAGCATCTGGAACAGGATAAATTGGTGGTCCTTGCCAGTCGCTACACATTATTTGTTGTGTGTACGATGGTGGTGGTATTGCTAAATGAAAAATGAATTTGTAAAATACACAAATAAACATAAAATATATATAATTTTTATTTAAAATAATTACCATTTGGATACCATTGATTATGAACTTGTGGAATTTCTGTTATAGAAGCATTAATATCGTTATTAGATTCAACCGTGTCCCATGGCAATTTCAAGGTATCAACAGTGACATTAGATTTTAAAATGCCTATTAAATGATTCTTATCATTGTCACTCAAATCATTTAAGTCCAAAAATTGAAAAAGAAGCTAAAATAAAGTACTAATTTAATATTTTTATTATCTTATAAATGTCTTATGTGTTAAAATAATTTGTATAATATTCTTTATAATAAAATATCACATAATATATAATTTATTTCCATTACATAAAAATGAATTTTATGTAATAGATATATAATATTCACAAATAATTTTAGGTCAATCAATAAACACTCACTAAATTAGTTCATCCATATAAATACTCTATTTTCCTTCTTAATTAAACAATTATTAACATATATTAATTTTAAGAAATTATTATAAAGAATTTATTATAAAAGTACATGTATAAGGAAAAATGAAAATTAATTTAAAGTAATACAATATTGTATAATAATAAATATACTTTTTCCTACGATTATATGACATCGTAACATTTTTATTATGTAAATAATATGTTTCATCAATTATAATTGTTCTGTGATTAATATTAGTTTCAATTTGATCTTCTAACCTCAAATCCCATAATAGTCAAAAAATTATTAAGAATAATATGTGATTTTATATGTCGTAATTAATAAAAAATTTTATCAATATATCATACCTCATTTTGAACATCCATGGTTAAATCCATATAGCAGTATAAAACATTAAAAATAATACCAGCAGAGAAACATGAGGCTCCGGTGATTTGTATCGGCAGTACAAAGGGATTGAACTTGATATTATTAATTTTATTTTCTATTTGTATAGAAATTATATAAAAAGAGAAGTGGATTATAAAAACACAGTATTTTTATTATTTCTATGCAACAATAAAACGAGGAAGGATACTATAACACTACTAACAAATTACACAATATAAATGACCATACTCCGGCAGTTCTGTAGTTAAAATGGGCCAAGCACGTTGCTTCACTACTGTTTCTTTTGTTCACGAGATTGGCGTCGCCACTAGCGTTTTACAGAGACATCTATATTAACTTTCCCGCTTTCTCGTTCCCTCCCTTTTTACATTGGGAAACGTGAGAAATTAGAATATCTAAATACATGAGAAATTTCCATTAATTTATAAATTTTACTTTGTTTCAGTTTATTTTTTTTTCATTGAGTCTAACGGTATATGTTATATTTATAAAATTTTGTTGGAATCAATTCTGCAACTGTTATTTTTATGTAAAATAGAAATTAAAAATGTTCAAAGATATAATTTTTTTTTTCAAACATTTTTGGTAAATATAATAAAAAAGCTACATATTTTAACTGTTTTTGGAATTTTATTCTAGTAACAAACTATTTTTGGAAGTTCTTATTCGAGTTCTTGAAAGTAAAGTTAGAAATAAAATGATTCGTTTTGGTTACGGTCCAAATTTAAAGAAGACACTTATTATGGTTTGAGATTTCATGTCACATTGATTGTGTAAAAAATTGGTTTTGTTATGTTCTCCATAATTCATAATAATTTTTAAATAAAAATCGTTTTTAATAAAGATTTAGCAATAAGTTTGAAAATAAATGCTCTAGAGAGTAGCAAGAAGTGATAATAAAGAATATCCACTTTGTAAATCCGAGCAAACCGAGATATTTTTTGAAATATCTCTTTTATTTCGCAACATTAATTTACTAAACTCACAAAATTCTCGAATTGCGATGGATGCTTTTAAATATATTTTTATATATTTTTTTTTATAATTTATCATTAATTAAAAAAAAATGCAAATATTAAAATTCAAAATTCGCGGTAATTCATTTATGCGTAAATTGATATGATTGGTTCATCATTAGAAATTTCCTGATAGGATACTTTACTTTTCCAACGAATCATTTGAATTCTATTCGCTCCTGCTCAAATTGGGATTAGTCTATTGTCTAAAACGGTAGTGTCAAAATGTGTCTTTCTGTATCGTGACATTCATTAATTACATAGTGCTTTCAACATCATTTTTCCATCCACGTTATCACGAATCTCATTCAAGGTATGTTTTCATACAATTTATCGAATATTATTGTAATTTATAGCTGAATTATCTTTTTTCCTATGATTTTCTTCGATCGTCACGTTCACCGGTAGCTCATATTCGAATTTCTAAAATGACATTTGATTTTGAATATTGTTTTATTCTTAATAATTCGTTTCTTTTGTATTTATTTGAAAGCTTTGCTTTTTTTACAAATTATGGGTTGATTGCGGAAGAAAGTTTAAAATATTAGTAACATTTATTTATTTTATATATTTTTTACGTATATATATGTATTATATTCGTTTTTCTTATTTTGATGAATAATTGGTAATATTTACTTAATACTCAATTAACACATTCTTAATAAATAATTTTTGCAAAGAAACATTGACGGTCAAATTTAAACGTATTCTGCGCATCTCGTCGTTTGAATACTGCGCACTTCGTTTAAAAAAACGATAAAAGTACGCCATATTTGATTACTTTTTCAATGCATATAGTAATTTTCAATCTATATAGTCAGTGTTTGTTTCGTTATATTATTTTGAATATTCTTTAAAATACAATAGTTTTCATTAAATTTAGTTATAATTAGTTATAATGCGAAATTAAAATCGATATATTTGCCAATTGTTATATAAAAGTATGTGTCAGTAGTCTTTTATTTTTCTTTTATATATATTTTATTTCTTTTATATATATTTTTTTAACATTTGCAGGTTTCGCAAATGGACACAGCCTCTGCAACTTAAGAATGTAAGTAGTGTCTATGTATTGTGCTTTTTAAAGTTTTAATATTGAAATATATAATAAAAAGATTTTATATTGAATAATAAAAAGATTTTAATATTGAAATATATAATAAAAAGATTATATATTAAAATTCCAAGTTTGAATAGAATTTTATCTTAAACTTCTTTAGGAATCAACAATGTTTTCCAGATCAAGTTATAATATTTCATATGTTTTATTAAAGGTTTTTTACAATTTTATTCTATTCTCTGGGGAGGATGCAAGGTTGTTCCAAAATATATTTCTAAACATGTAAGAATCTTTTATATAATGTATTTTAATTAATTTTATTTCTTAATAATATTTATTTATTATTTATTAATAAAAAAAAGTGATTTTAAGTTTTTATATTAAAGTTCCAATTCATATAGTAATTAAAATTTATTAGAACTTTAATACAATATATTTTTTAATTTAATATATTTCCATACAATTTTATATTATTTTTTGGATAATTATGATTATGTTTCTCGGAATGAATTGTAATAATTCATATTTTATTAAAGGTTTCCCTTAAGATTTTTCTTTCTTCTTCTTTTTGTCTTTTGGAAATTCTCTGGTGTTTCATAAGCCAAGAATGTAAGTAACTTTATGTTTTACTATGTATTTCAATTAATTCTATGTCTTGTATTTTAATAACTATTAATAAAAAAAAGAATTCATTTGGAAGTTTTCATTACTAAACTGAGTATCATCATTAAGATATTGTTTAATTTTTCATTATTTTAAACTTTTCAAATAATGAATATACTGTTTCTAAAAATAGATTTCTTCTACCCCTTATTTCTTCCATGGGACTTGACAATTTCTATTCGATGATGGGCTTCACGATCAGTTTCCTTGGACCAGAATAACGTCGATGATAACATCTTTTGCATCTAATCGTGAGTCGCATTTTTTTGTTCCTCTAGTCATCTAATCATGTCGCAGGATGAAAGGTCCGAATCGACACGGATGATTGGTTGTATTGTATGTAGAATTTTTGCCGAGCATAGTGACCGCGGGCATTTATTATATCCGTGAATAATAACATTTTCTTGTTTGTATTTTATTTGTTAGCTCAGGATAGGTTTTCTTGCACATTACGTTTTTGAATAATAATGCAAAAAATATTAATAATTATTAATATTATAACATTGATATAATAGGAATAAAAAATTGATCTAAAGAACAGAATATTTATAATTATAGGTAGCTTGATTGGATATTTATATATAATTTATATATAAAAAATATATATATATATTTATATATAAAATATATATTTATATATATCTATATATTCAAATAAAATGTAAATATTTGAATAAATGATGAATGTTAAAATGATTTGTTTTACTATCTTGTAGTGGAGATACTTTCCGACTTCGTTATTGTAAATTATAGTATACATTATAGTATTGAATTGAAATTCAAATACTTCAACAATTCTAATAATGATATGTATTACAGATATTAGAGATTTAAAAATATTTAATTTATTTTATTTATTCCTTGCTTTATATTAATATGGAACTGAATTATTTAATTTCCATAGTCAATGTAATTTCAACAGAATTTCAGATATGTATTAGGAATTTAACACTAGAGTGTATCAAACAGAGTGTGCAAGAAGACACTTCGCGATAAGTCGATTTCAGAATCAAAGCACTGGTTTTAAATGTTACTATTGTGTTTTTAAAAATGCACTTTGATGAAGGAATCACTTAAGGATATTTTTATTATTATCAGTTACATTAGAATTCACCATTATTCATTGAATATTATTTATTTATTTGTATTGAATCTTAGTCCTTTTTTCAATAAATGATATATTAACTTTTTCAACATATATAGCATATATAGCAGTTAGTAATTTACTAAATCATTCAAATAAATTACAAAGTAGAATAATTGAAAATTGAAATAAAATGATTAGCTCGTTAGATACAAAATAGACATGTTAACCATTTTTTTAGTTCAAGATTTTCAAATTTAAGTTTTCCATGTTTATTGCTAGAACCTTGTTCATGTGCTCAGGTGCTACTTGGGTGGGAGAAAGGCAATGATGACCATAGTTTATAAGCTTAATTTTTCAGCAACTGATAATGTGTTAGTGCATGCGTATCGTGCATGACGTATTTTCCACATGTGTGTACGTGATCAGGATGTGAAATTGCGTCGTTTCTATTGTTCCATTCATTATAAGTTGAAATATTTAAAATATTTATGCACTGATTTAAAATTTATTATAATAATGCCTATTGAACACATATAAATGTAATTATATTGTTAATTGATCACTATCAATGATAATGATGATTTCTATAGAAATTGCGTATATTTTTTCTCAATTATTAATTTTTCACATATGATTGTAAGCGTGTTTTAATCACGTTTTACGCAATGGTCGCTAAGTAAGTTAAAATCTGAATGTTGTGCGCTAAGGGTGTCGGAGGTGTCCTCCCCAGTGTAGGTCGCGCCCGAGTGTATGTGTGAGAATCGTGGAGTGAATGTGTTTAATTATAAGTACGCCTGTCTTTTGCCATTTTTTAAATATAGCACAGCGTG